ATATATATATATATAGATGCATGCGTATATGTCAATATATATATATATATATATATGTATCTTTCTCTCTCTGTCTCTCTTGGAGGGAGTGTGAGACTCCTTCTGGCAGGACTCGCTCAGAAGTCAACTGAACTTTGGCACCACGGCAAGATTCCCCTTGAAGAGGCCATGGTGCCGGTGATCATGATGAGGGGGATGACGATGATGATTATGCTGATGATGTGGTTGTTGATGGTGACGATAAGGATGGTGGTGGTGAGTGACGATGATGATGATGACTATGGCGGCTAAGCTGGTGTTGATGGGACGTCTGAGAATGCGAATAATGACGGATCAGGTTCACGTTCAGCAGCTTTTAGCACCCTAAGCCCTAGGCATACAGAGAGGAGAGGGTAATGCAGGGGCCTAAATAACTACTACTATAATAAGGAGCCCTAACACTAACCATTGGTAATTATTTAGGCTTCTATAGTAAACTCCAAATCCCTGAAGACCCTGACGGCCCTAACGCCCTATAGCTCCCTAAACCCTAAACCCTAAATCCCAAACTCTAAACCCTAAACCCTAAACCCTAAACCCTAAATCCCAAACGCCACACCCCTGAAGCTGATCCCACGATCCCTAAACCAAACAATGATCCCTACACCCTAAAATCTGATCCCCAACTAAACCCTAAACCCTAAACCCTAAACCCTAAACCCTAAACCCTAAAACCAAATCCCCAAAAAACCCTAAACCAAAAGTCCTGACCCATAGGCCCCATAGTAGCTCCTTTTTTGGGATTGCCTTACAGGATTCTAGATATGAACCCCAGAAAGGAACTACTATGGGGCCTATGGGTACGCCCAAACGGTTTAGGGTTTAGGGTTTAGGGTTTAGGGATTAGGGTTTAGGGTTTAGGGTTTAGGGTTTAGGGCCCCAAAAAGCACATAAGCAACAATTAGGATAGTGATATCCCATATAAATCCCCTTATAATGAAGCCCAATAAGGTAGGGATATCCCTATAAAATGCTTAAGCTTATGTCCTTTTTGGGTTCCTAAGAATTCTGCCTGCAACCCTAAACCCTATTAAAACCTAATCGCCAAACCCTACACCCCAAGAACCCCAAACCCTAAGAACCCTAATCCCCAAACCCTAAACCCTAAGAACCCCAAACCCTAAGAACCCTAATCCCCAAACCCTAAACCCTAAGACCCCTAAACCCTATTAAAACCTAATCCCCAAACCCTAAACCCTAACAACCCCCTCATCCCCAAACCCTAAACGCCAAGAACCCTAAACCCTAAGAGCCCTAATCCCCAAACCCTAAACCCTAAGACCCTAAACCAAACGAACTCTGCCTGCATCCGAGTCGCCTTCGGGTCCCAACTTCTCAAAAATGCTCACAGCTTTGTCCAAGCTCGCGATGCATGCCTCCAGGGTTCAGGGGTTCAGGGGTTTAGGGGTTTAGGGTTTAGGGTTTAGGGTTTGGGATTTAGGGTTTAGGGCTTGGGGGAGTAGGATTTGGGGGATTAGGGTTTAGGGCTCAGGACTTGCGCTTAGAGGGACGTTTTCTGGTGATGTGGCGGTTGTCGAGGGTTTTTTATGGGGCGAAGATCATGGTGAAGGGTAGAGATTTGCGGACTGGAACGAGGGGGTGCTTACGTCCTGCTTGTAGTTCTGCGGTTTGTCCGCAGGCTGTCACGCCGAGGCCCCAAAAACAGGGCCTCGATAACTGGAATAGGGTTTTGAAGTATAACATGGTATAGTCTGCTTGGAGGATCCTGGGACTTAGTAAGTAAGGTTATAAGTCCCCTACTTGGGGTTATACGTATAGCTACCTTAGCTATAACCCTGCTTGCTAAGTCCCAAGATCCTTTAAGTAGTGTTAGTCCATACTTGGGGAACCCTGGGGAATTATTCACGATTACCCAGGCTTCTATACTGAACCCAAACCCCGAAAGGCCCGCATGGCGTGGGACTCGCAAGGCCCGAAATCCGATATTGGTCGCGGTTTAGGGCGTAGGGTTTAGGGTTTGGGCTTTAGGGTCTAGGGTTACCGTACCCAGGCCCCTAAACCCGAAGTCCACAAACCCGGTGAACTGTAACCCTTGCTTCCTTGACGTTCATGAACAAAGCAACATGCCTAGAGGGTCATACCCTACCCGTTTTCTTTAAGGTATCGAGTTTTACGATTCGGATCTGTTCAGTAAAAAGTAGGTACCTTCAAAACGGGGTATAGGGTATACGGTCTACAGGCAGTGTCATCCTATATAGTCCGGGCTTGGCAAACCATGTAGCAGCCGTATTACCCACAGACCGCGTAGTAGTTCCTTTTTGGGATTACCTTAAAGGATCCTAGATATGAACCCCCAAAAGGAACTACTGTGGGGCCTATGGCTATGCTACAAACGCCAAACATAATAATGGCATTCTGGAACCCATACAAAGCGATTGCTGAACCCTATGAGAACCGTATTACGCACTACCTCCTTTTTGGCATTACCTTCTAGGATCCTAAATATATGCCACCAAAAGGAACAAGTCCGAAGTTTGCGAGGCCTCAAACTGCTCGTCGCGGATCTCCGCCTCTGCCTTCGCGTAGAGGGATACCGCCTGACGGGATGTGCAATCGCAGGTCAGAGGCCTTAATCCCTAGTAGCCCAAAGGGTCCTAGGTACTGTTATGAGGAGTATATACTTCGCCAAATCACAATAGTACGAGTAATTCCTAACATAGAAACCTTGCATTCCACCATATAGGTTTGTAGGGACGATAAGGGGATAGTCGTACTGGCAGACGGAGGCCACTGGGGTCTTAATCATCACATTCAGGGTTTGGGGCTTTGCATGGTTTGTTGGGGCCGGCTAAGTGTGTCAGCATGATGGCGTTGTTGCCCTGGCTTTGTTGTTATTGTTCAAGTGGCTGACGACAAAAATGGGGTCTTCGAGTTGTTCAACAAATCACAAGTAGCATCCACCCGACCCCTACACCCTAAACCCCAAACCCTGAACCCTAAACCGAACCCATCGAGTCGGTTCGTCATCGGTGAAAAGATGTTTCCAAATCAAAAAGGTGCAGCTTGAGAGGCGATAAATCTTCAAAAACCCACCGGGTAATATGGGGTTTAGGGTTTCGGGTTTAGCCTCCAGAATTACCAATACTATTTTTGGGGGGTTCCTTATTCTAAGTACAGTATAATGGGCCCCAAAAGCCTATTGAAATCTTCAAAACCCCACCAGCCACCTCAAGGCCGCTAGCTTTCACCAAACCTAACATGGGAGTTTCCGAACATAAGGGGTACCTGATTTTGGGTCCTTATCATAGGGATCCTATTGTATTAAGGTCCCCTATTTTTGGAAACCTCCACATGAACCTCCAGAAACCCTGGATTACTACACCGGCGGCAGAACCTGCAAAAGAGACTAGAATAGGGTTTGGCGTGATGGGTTTGGGAGTCTTGACTGAAGCCGACAGTGCTCCAAACACACACACACACACACACACGACAAGCGACATGGCCTGTTCACAGCCCATTGCCCTACCCATAGGCCCCACAGTAGTTCCTTTTTGGGATTACCCTATAGGATTCTAAATATGAACCCCAAAAAGGCACTACTATGGGGCCTAGGGGTAAACCCTGGACCCACGAGTGCTGGAGCCTGGCAACCGGTTAAGCTGCGGAGCTTCAGGGCTTCAGGACAGGGTCTTCTGTGGGTTTAGGGTTTAGGGTTTAGGGTTTAGGGTTTTAGGGTTTAGGGTTTAGGGTTTAGGGTTCAGGGTTTAGGGTGAGTGTTACAGGTTCTTAAGGCCGTCGATACTAACGCTACAATGCTACAAGGTCTTGGGTGGTAGTCCAGGGGTGTAATTCGGGGTCATTATCAGCACAAAGAAACAGACTCCGCACTCAAAACTCTAATCCCAGCCCCTGCACGTACGGCCTCTCGTTTGTCTGCCATTGGCACCGCCTCTGCTTCTTGTGGGCTCGGGACCACCCAGGTATAAGGGCCTTTCTAAAGACAATAGGGTTTGAGGGTATGAGACACTATAGCTACTATACCTACAACAGGGAACAACAAGGAATACTCTGTTCAACAGGATACTATCCCAAGGCCGCGGTTAGTTCTACCATTCTACCTACTCCCTGAACGTGAACACTTTCACCAAACAGGACCAAAGCGGCATCTGCATCTTCAAGCTAGAAGACTGTGAGAATCCCCTATGATTATTTCAAAACCCTACTTTGCTGGGTTTCCTTCTTATGGTTTCCTTATACAAGTACTAAGCAAGGAAAGGTATGGCGGCTGGAGGTGGCGGCTTTTACTTTTCGGGCTGAGGTGAACCCTAAACTCTAAACTAAACTCTAAGCCCCAGACCCTCAATCCAGAAAACACGAGCATCAGAAGCCGAGGTGCTTTTCTCACAGCTCGGAGAGCGGGCTTGAAACGAGGAGTGTGGCGTGATAACTTCGGCAGAGTGCACGTCCGATATGGTCAAGATTTCTAGACAATGACCGCTGAAGTGTTGGCCGGATGACGAGATTTCCAGGCGTTCTTGTGGTAGCAGTTCTATGCCGATGCCAAGCTTGCAGTGCAGTGACAGTGGGAGAGTGACTGCACGTGAGAAGATGGAACCGTGCTCATGATCTACAAGGACACGCCG